TCTCCCCCCCCATGAGGTGCGCAGGGGGCGCCGCGCCCTTCCCTCAAGGTTGGAGGTGGCGTTGCCGGGTGCTGCTCAACGGCCCCGAAGCTGCGAGGGCTCCGCGAGGCCTGGCGGTCCGAGCTGCGATGCCTCGCCTCGTCGCCGCGTTTGTTGTGCGGTGTTGGTGGGGTGCAGAAATCCGTCAGGGTCCGCTCCCAGCCGCTGTCCCTGGTGAAGGTGAACGCGGAGGCCTTCCCAGCCCGTCAGAGAAATGCCCTTAGCGTTGCTGTGGGACTGCACTGGGAGCTCTCCGTGAGATGTAAGATTATTGTAGCCGTTTAGGACGTTGATCACTACAGATTTTTTTTTTTCTGGAACTGTGTATGTTCTAGCAACCCTGTAGCAGTTTTGCAGTTAGATTTTGTTCTGAGAGAAGCCAGCCCTTTGAAGACTAAATTTTATTTTTGCCTTGTGCAGAACCACAAGGGAGGCACCGATTTCTCTATGCCTCAAGCTTTTGATGCCCTGAGCAAAAGGGGCTAGTTTAGCGGATGTGTTGCTGTGTGAGTTGCCGCCGTGCTGCAGTTGTGATGCTAGTGCAGCATGAAGGCCACGCAAAAAAATGCAGCAAGTAATTTGGGAGAGTTTGCCATATTATTAGTAATGCTAGACCTGGTTCCAGTGCTGCACTTTGTCAATGGAGCTGTGTGCTGTGTAACTCAAAACTGAGACATGTTGCTTATGTTAGATTTCCAGAAACACCCTGGGTGCAGCATTTGTTGCTACGAGAAACATCCATGCCTCCAAAACATGTTTTCAGAAAACTGGTGAGTCTAAAATAATAATAATAAAAAAGTATGCACATATGAGTACTGTTTAAGAACTTGCTCTGTCAAAACTTGTTAACTTAGAGAAATAGTTGAAAACGAATAATAATTTGCACTTGGAATATGAGGCGTGCACATCAGTTGACAAAAACCTTAAGGGCAGTGATTGATAGTGAACTAGCTATTTTTAGTCATATATGTGAGGTTTCATTTTACCTTTTAGTAACTGTTCACAGGGAGTGGTCACGCGTCAAACCTGGCTTACTTAAGTTAACTCCTTTACAGGGGTTCAATTCTGTGATCAACTCCTGCAGAATTATCCGAAAAAGCCTCAAAATTGCGGTTTTGTTCCTGCTTTATAATAGTAGAAGGGAGTAGATGACTTTCCCAAGTGTGCTTGGGTTTGACCTTGTGTCCTTGAGTATAACTTTGCACTGCCAGCATCTTGGTGTTTAGAGGAGGCAGTGGCACCAAACAGCTGTGGTTTTGGTAGTTGTTCATGTACAATTTTTGAAGTGGTTTAGGTCACTAAAGGTATTATTAGGAAATGAATTTCAGTGTTACTGCTTCCTAACTGAGAGAATAAAAACCTATTGGAGACATGCTGCCCAACAGAAATTAGAAGAAGATGGAGAATACTTTTTATAGGTTATATTGAACAACTCATTCCTTAAATACATTAAATGTCTAAATGTATTTGGCTCTTGGATTAAAAATGAGTTGAGAATTTATTTTGATGCTTACAGTCAAGTCACATGCTCTGCCTGCAGAGCTAGCAGTTCCGTACTTTGGGATCTGGGTCTAATCTCTCTAGTCTAATGGCTTTCCAGAGGAGAGGTCGCTAATAGCGTAGGACATACTGAAGAACATAAGTGCCTGTTTAATGTAGTCGTTTGTGATGCTTCATAATGATGAGATGAAACTGCTTTTATTGACTGGTAACGTGAAGAATATCCCTTGTGCATCATGTCTAAGGAAGAATGCTTGCTTGGTCCTGTGGCATACCTGAACCAAGGTCAGCTCAAGACCAGCTTTCTGATTTCATACTGCCCCTTAATATACTGGATCCTGTTTGGAACATTTCTTTCCAGGCACTGCTGAGGTATCCTCTATTCTTGAGGAACGTATTTTGGGAGCTGACACCTCTGCTGAACTTGAGGAGACTGGCCGCGTGCTCTCAATCGGTGATGGTATTGCCCGGGTGTATGGCCTAAGAAATGTCCAAGCAGAAGAAATGGTTGAATTCTCTTCTGGGCTGAAGGTAAGCTTTCACTGAAGCCTATTTAGTTTGGAAATATGAAGAAGACTTTTCTAAGGAGAATCTGAGATGGTGCTTGGAATTACCCACATGGGGCTTTTACTGACTTCCTTATGACTTAAATATGGAGTAACTAGTTGAAATAACACTGTGAAAAGGAAATGTTATTTTTGTTTATAATGTGCTGCTTTCAAATATTGGTATCTGCTTCTTGGCCAACATTTGAGCTTTATTTGCCTTTACCCGGGAAGTGTTAAGACCTAATCTGCCATAGGATGATGTTTTCTTTAGTTTCAGGCTGGCTTTTCTGTTCACTGGTGAAGAATGGCCTCTAAGCTCCATTACAGTGTACGGTTTGCTGACTTCTTACAGTCTTAACAGACCAGAGTTAAAAAGGCTTAGACTGCTCCCTAAAAATCAGAGACCTCTTCTAGGTCATTTTTAGTGAGCTAACTTGCTTTTTAATTTAGTGAAGCAGATAAGAAACCAGATCTTTTTTCCCCTTGTCCAATTCCTATTTGAACCCTGCTCTTCTTTTCTGTTCTCTTTGGGGAGAGAAGTGACTTCATGCTAGACTGCTACAAGTGTAACAAATTATTAAATAAAGTTCAAGAGTTAGGCAGGTTCTCCGCAGTATGGGAAAAGATGCGTGCATTGGATGTAAGAGAATACTGAATATTTTATTGTTACAAAGAAGATTGAAAGATTGAGGTAGCCTCTATCCAATATTGTGCGCTGTAGAATAATCACTTAAGTACTAAACCAGCAAGAATTCACTGGAAATGTTGATATGGGTTTTCTCAGGATGACATGATCTTTGTCCTAGGGCATGTCCTTGAACTTGGAGCCCGACAACGTTGGTGTTGTCGTGTTTGGTAATGACAGACTGATCAAGGAAGGAGATGTTGTGAAGAGGACTGGTGCCATTGTGGATGTACCAGTTGGGGAAGAGCTGCTGGGCCGTGTGGTGGATGCCCTGGGCAATCCTATTGATGGGAAGGTAAGTGTAACTAGGTGTTTACTGGTTCTACTTGCTTCTCTGTCTTGGACTGCAACAGTTTAGTTTTTGTGTTTTTCTTTTTTAAGGGTCCTATTACTTCTAAGACACGTAGGAGAGTTGGCTTAAAGGCCCCTGGGATCATTCCCAGGATCTCTGTGCGTGAACCTATGCAGACGGGTATTAAAGCTGTGGATAGCTTGGTGCCGATTGGCCGTGGCCAGCGTGAGCTGATCATTGGTGACAGGCAGACTGGGTAAGTTAAATATCTAAGCTAAAATTTTCGTATCTAGAGACTTCAGTACAGTGTGTTTTGAATGTACAAAGCTAAACACAAAACTGGATAGAGGTTGGGAGAGCCACAGGCAACTGAACTCAGTAACCTCTATTTGTGTTACATAGGAAAACTTCGATTGCAATTGACACAATAATCAACCAGAAACGATTTAATGATGGAACAGATGAGAAGAAGAAGCTGTACTGTATCTATGTTGCAATTGGTCAAAAGAGATCTACTGTTGCTCAGCTGGTAAAGAGGCTCACTGATGCAGGTACAGACGTGAAGATGGCTGATTGTGATGGGAGCTGGTGATATCCTGTTGTCATTGTTACAATGCGTACTAAATTTAAAGTAGTGGCTGGGGGACTGACTGAAATGTTGATTACTGCCACGAACTCTCCTAGTTGCAAGTGTAGGCAGAATTCTGTGAGAACCGCTTGCTTCTCTGGAGAAGAAATCCTAGGTATCTAGGGAAAAAAAAAAGAAAAAACCCTTTTCACCACAGAACATTGGAAGACTAATAACCCTTCCAAAACTACTAGATTGCTTGAAGAAGTTGCTTTCTAGTTTTTTCAGTGGAGTTCAGAGAGCTTCCTCCTGGCAGTCAGGCAAGCCTGGTTCCATTTACGATCTATAAGTATTTATGGATGTAGCATTTGTTTCAAATGTAGGCAAATCAGTGTGAATGACAGTTGCAAGTTTAGTGGAGAGTCTTCTGTTGCCCAGTGCGTAATGGACTAAATCAGTGTTTCTAGAAAGATGCCATCATCTTGTTGACTCATGCTGCATCTGTAACAAAGCTTGCAAGAGATCAGGCACCTTACCTCTTGCCTACTGGTCAAGTAGAGTCATATCTAGCAGAAGAAATGTGTTTTAACGAGGCTAATTTGTTGGGGACTGTGAAACAAAAGGTACTTAAGGTAGTTCCTTGCAGAAGCCAGGAAACCAGGGACTTGTAGTCCTCTGAGTGACTTCTAGAGCTTAAGTGTCTTTGATTGGAGTCTAAACTTCATTTTGAATGGGAAAGAAGTCCATAAGTGTTAAAAATTAGCTGCTATAACTTTGTTGTTAAAACTCCTGGAGCTAGTCAGATAGAACCTGCATGCCAATGTAGCACAGCGTTCCTTCTGGTAACAGTGTAGGGATGCTGCCTGGTCTCACTTCCGCAGCTAGTTTTGTCTGCCTTGTAACTTGTACTTCACATGCATGTTATGTTTGCTAATTATTGGCGTGATAAGGTAATATACTTAGTGTTGTGTGTCTGTGATTCTTTCCAGATGCCATGAAGTACACTATTGTGGTTTCTGCCACAGCTTCTGATGCTGCACCCCTTCAGTATCTGGCTCCCTACTCAGGCTGCTCCATGGGGGAATACTTCAGAGACAATGGAAAACATGCACTTATCATCTATGATGACTTATCCAAGCAGGTCAGGAAACATTGCTTATAGAGCTTGTATTCTAGTGTTGGGGTCTGTAGCTGTAAGATCACCTCAGGTGTAGATATGCAAGCTTTCCAGTGAAGTAGTGAAGTCTGAGAGCTGCCTTTATACCGTACAGGCTGTTGCCTATCGTCAGATGTCTCTGCTACTGCGTCGTCCACCTGGTCGTGAGGCCTACCCGGGTGATGTGTTCTACTTGCACTCTCGTCTGCTGGAGAGAGCAGCCAAAATGAATGATTCCTTTGGAGGTGGCTCTCTGACTGCCTTGCCTGTCATTGAAACTCAGGCTGGTGATGTGTCTGCTTACATTCCAACTAATGTCATCTCCATCACTGATGGACAGGTAGGACTCGCTCTATGTATGTCAGTACTTCTGTGTCACTTAGTGGCAGGTCTCTAAAAGTTTTCGGACATCTGACTAAGATGATAAAACATTTTTTCTCCTCCAGATCTTCTTGGAAACTGAGCTGTTCTACAAAGGTATCCGTCCAGCTATCAACGTTGGTCTCTCTGTATCCCGTGTAGGCTCTGCTGCTCAGACCAGGGCTATGAAGCAGGTAAGCATGAAACTGCTGTTCGCTCTCATTAGAGTAGAGTAGAGGCTGTCTAACCCATTTCACTCTTAGCATGTAGTGAATACAGAGGAAACATACATGAATTCCTAAGTATTGTGCAGTTTTTCAAGTTCTCCAAGAGCAACCTGTGTGATCTTTGTTTCCCTCTCCTGCTGAGAGGTGGGAAGGGAATGATGAGCTGCTTAAAGATGCAGCACTAGTAAGTTTCAGCATGCTTAACTGGGTACTAATCTACTTGGGTATAGAGAATGCTTGCTTAACCCCATACTGTTTTTAATCTAGGTATGAAATATCAACTGTGACCCTTTTAGGGTGGGATAGCATGCCCTATACAGGCTCTGCTCTTGGTATCCAATTATTCCCCCTACCTACTCTTAGATTCTCCTTATCTTTTTCCTAAGACTGGGAGATGTTTCAGATGATCACTCTGAAGTAGAAATGATCAGGTGGCAAGGGGAAAGTCTGAAGTGCGAGTTGTAGCGCAAGTTACAAGGCTAAACCAACTGTGGAAATACACGTAATCTGTTCAAGATTCACTTGATTTGTATGCAAGGCAAAATGACCTGTGACAGCTGTTAGCTGAAGATAACATGAGTTCAGCAGTTTGCAGATTAAAGGTGGTCAAACTCAGTCTGACTTGTGTCTTGTCTTGTAGGTGGCAGGTACCATGAAGCTGGAATTGGCTCAGTATCGTGAAGTAGCTGCCTTTGCTCAGTTTGGTTCTGATCTGGATGCTGCCACGCAACAGCTGCTGAATCGTGGTGTGCGCCTGACAGAGCTCCTCAAGCAAGGACAGTATGGTGAGTGCATTGGATGTAACGAGTCTGCGTTTCCTGCAGTGTGCTAAGGGGGTGGGTTTCTGTGGCTGTGTTAAGAACAGCGTTCTGTGGACATGCTGAATGGCAGGCTTATTTGAACCATATTTTTTATATATGCAGTCAATCTTCAAAGAAAGCGTGTATAGTACTGGTATATCCTGATGTGAGAAGTACCAATGGTATGAATGCTTTCTTTTATGCAGTGCCCATGGCTATTGAGGAACAAGTTGCAGTCATCTATGCTGGTGTAAGAGGTCACTTGGACAAGCTGGAGCCCGGCAAAATCACTAAATTTGAGAGTGCTTTCCTAGCTCATGTTCTGAGCCAGCACCAGGCCCTCCTCTCTACTATCAGGTATGTTGATTTGTTATCTTCATTCTGAGAACGCTGACCTGAGAACTGGAGTCTTAGATACTGATCACTGAACTGTTAGGGTATCCTAAAACATCAGGCCTTATGCCTGTCTCTAGAACTCCAGAAGTTAAATGAACCTGCTAACGGCTCTAAAGCTGCAGTTCGGAGCTCAGTTTCTCATCTGCAGTTTTTAATTAAGAAATCTACCTGAAGCTTAAAATAAACCTACTTGCATGCGTCTCCTGTAATTTGGTGTTGAAATCAGTTTGCCCAGTCAGTTGCCAAATTTTTTGATAGCTTCAAGCTATTACAGTACTGTGGATTAAGTGCTGCTCACTGCCTGCCTTGCCACTGAGTTGGCTGTTGGAGGCTTGAGTGTTTCCGCAGTCCTTTGCTGTCAAATGGTTTTAACTTGTCTTCCCCGAGTCAGATGACCTGCCTGCCTTCTGTGTCTAAAACTGTTGTGTCCTTATCTTGAAGACAGGACCTTCTTGAACTAGGTACAGCTATTCTGAAAGTATGTGACAAACATTAGTTCCTATAGAGTACTACCCCTTCTTGGGGAGAAGGGAGCTTAGTATAGTTTCAGTGGTAAAGCTTCATGCATCAGGCAAAAGTGTGTTAACTCACTTGCTAATTTTATTAGAAATTGGAAGGTTCATTGTATAGTTTTCTTGCTTTAGTGAGAGACTGAGCATACATTTACTCCTGGGTCAATTGTCTCAACAGGACTGAAGGGAAGATCTCTGACCAGACAGAAGCGAAGTTGAAGGAAATAGTCACAAGTTTCCTGTCTACTTTTGAGGCATAAACTCTTAACCGTGTTCACACAGACGAGACTTGTTGTGATCCCGTGCTCCAGCTCCATCAAAGATGTAAAAGTATGTGCGACTTGAATGTACAGATCTCATTGAGAATAAAAGTTTCCATGTAAAAAGGCTTGGTTCTTCTGACTCTTCTAAATTACTGGCTTTCCACTTGTCTACTTTAGCAACACGTGCCTAGGAGAACAAGGGGTTAAACTAACTTGGACGCAGGCTTGCTAAAGGAACTCAGAAAAATCAGGAGGTGTTTATTGTTGAGTGGATCAAATTCAACTGTACTAGTACTTACCGTAGGGGTAGCAGTTGGATTTTGTGTTTTAGGGATTTCCCATAGTGACAGAACTGAGAGTCATTAGTCATTTGCTAGACAGCTGATCTGGACCTCTTAGTATTCTTCTAGCAGCCACAAGTCTGATACTCTAACAAACTATTTCTCAAAGTTGGTTGCTGCGTAACTCATTTTCTTGGTGCCTTGAGCTTCCTGAAGTTATGCCTGTCAAAGGAAGCTCAATAGAAGTGTGCCTGGCAGAAACTGAGCTGCTTCTGAAGTTGTCTCCTGCCACAAAGACACATGCAAGGTTAGATTTGTCTAAACATCAAACATGCAGCTGGAGTATGGCATTCTAGAAGTTGTAGGTGAAAGGGGTGTGGGGCGGGGGGACTCTGACCAGCTGAATAGTAAGCTGTTACTATAGGTCAATCTTCGAACAGTATTACTATACTTGCTTTCAAAAGACTGATTCTTTCAGAACTGTCTGTCCTGGTATCTTGAGACAACTGCACATTTAGCTGTTTCAAACGGCTACAGATTTAAATGCCATCATTCTCGGTAGTTCACTCTAGTCCTGTCAGTAAACTTGCAATCCTTAATGGCTTGGCAAGGGAAATTATAGACCTGACTGTCTTTTTTGTGCCTGACTTTCTGCATGCTACACTTGGTGAGCCTTATGTGAGTGCGCAAGATCATGGTGTTGGAACGTGTATCTTGGGGGGGGTGTGTGTGTGGGGAGGAGTTCAGTTCTGCCCTTAGCTTAAAATGCTCTAGCTCTGCCTTGGCCCTCACACTGAGGGGAGTACCTGCTGGTCAATTCAGGTTGTCATCCCACTTGTGGTGTATTCATATTTCTTCTGGTACACTAGAACCCTGCCCTTCATCCTAGGTGAGCGTTTACATTGTGCAGCGTCTGTGATTATTCAGGGCTTCTGCTGGGGCTATTTTGTTCGAACTCCAGTTTATTCCCTTTATAGAAGCCTCCTGCCTCAGGGTTCAAACCTGTGTTGCTATTTTAAATAGCTGAAAGCAATTCGTCTCAGTCTTTCACACAGCTATAGGCTAACAAGCTTCTGTAGTATCAGCTTGATTAACTTTGAGAGTGTGAGCACTTGCCTCTGAAACAGCATTCTAGGCAGTCACCCTGCCCTCTCTTCCCTTCGGTAGTTAAGAAATCCCACTTACCCCTCAACAGGATTGTATAGGTCCCATTCAGTGTCTCATTGCTGTCAGGCAATATGGGACACTAAGCAAAGTGGTGGGCCTTTGGCAGGATCCATGCTAAGGATTAAGTGCAAGCGCTAAGTGCTGCAAGCACTGCTGAAGCAGAGCATAAGGAACTGCTTTGTGTGGGGCAACCGAGTTTCCTGTCTCTGGATCACTGCAGTCAGTATCCTTTCCTTTTGTCTGTGTAGGGGAGGAAAAAACAAATTCTCAAGAGCAAGCACTGCTACTACAAATAACTTAGTGTGTCTATGGTATGTACATAGGTGCTAAGGCAAAGCTGCTATCTTTTAATGTTGTGTTTTTCAGAAGCAAATTATGTAAGCTATGGAAGGTATCACTAAAATATGTTTATGAAATTCTGAAAAAAAGCTAACTTATTTTTAGTCTGGTAGCTTCACACATTTTACTAGGAAGAGTTGGCAGGTTAAAGTAGCACTGTGCTCCTGTAGGAGGGCTTTCCACTGAATTACTTTTCTCTTTCACAATCCCATCTCTCTCTGTGTGGTGCAAGAACATGGGACTGGGAAGCTTCATAAGCATGAGAATATTGTGGTTCAGCCTTTTTGCTTAGACTGCCCTAAATACTTGCGTAGTCTAAGCATTCTCTGCCCTGAAAGTGGTACTTGGATGTAATGGGGCTGTCGAAGGTGGCAATAGTTATTATCAGACACTGTCTGTAAAACACCTTATCCACTAGCTCTTGTTATATGACTGTGAAGCTGCTTACGTATGTTCCCGTTTGAAGAGTGCTAACCTGACCTTATGGTTCACAGCAATATGGCAATACAAATTTGGAACATACCTGCCTTCCAAATCTCTTTCAAGATAGCATTTTTAGCTTACTACTCTCTTTATTCTTTTTGCAATGACTGAGCCTAAATTACTTGTTGGTTAGTGTGTAGCTGTGCCAAGTTTTACTTCTGTACCGCTGCAGTCAGAAAACAGCGAGCTCAAGGTTGGTGAGTCCAAGTGAGATCAGTTGGGAAGTCTGTGAGGTGCTGTGGGATGTTCTGGCCGCGGGGTGGTGCTGAAAAGCAGAGAAATGGCTGCATGATGGGTGTGTGGGGGGTGGTGCTTTTGCTTCTGCATAACTACTGAAGGGCTTCATGCTTCATCCTGGGAGTACATACGGGCTAGGTCTAAGTAAATCATCTTAACAGCAAACAGCAATGGAGATCACAGAAACCACCAGAATGGAGGAAAACTTCTAAAACAAGGAAACACTTGCAAGGTTTCAGATGAGCCTGCTACTCCTGAATCAACCTGCTGTGCTGCTCTGGCACCATTTGCTCTGTGTTGCATTTTTTTCCTTCGTGGTTTGCTGTGTCTGTTTTTGCTTGCTCTGTTTGTGCAGTCAGATAAAACTTAATGCTGCAAGAATACTGAATCGACGTGTGATCGCTACCAAAGTTGTGATGTGTGGTTGCGTTGTGGTATCTACGATGACAGTTGCGTACACTGCTCTAAGCTGCTGTGCCTCGAGCCACGCTATTTTGTCCTGCTGTATTTGTTTCTCAAACCCATTTGGTCTTATTTGCCTGTCTCACAGTGTGCCCTTCCAGTGAGATGGGATCAGATGGAGAATGTATGAATGTATGTAGGAGAAGTAATGAGAGACTGCTCACGTGAAACCTCACGGAGCCCTTGTCCAAAATGGGCTAACAGGTCTTAGCAAGAAATCGATACCAGCAAGAAATACCGTGAACGTTATGAGAAGTTCTAGTGGGGTTGTCCGTCCCTGATAAAGCATCAAATACAAGCACAGCCCTGAGGTGCTACTGTGAATGTGACTAAAAAATTATTCAGATTTCACGCTTTGGAGTTTTTTGTATATTTGCAGCTGGTCAGATTGCACTACAACTGATACATTTTTAGATGAGGTTGGTATAACCTCTTCAAAGCCTGGGGTGAAAGCACACACAAATATGACGCTGCCTCTGCTAACATGGCAAGAACTGCAGCCACTAGCATTGAAGGAAAAATCCACGTAGACTTGCTTTATTCAGTATAAATCTCAAATGTCTGCCAAGTGGCAGTGGCCTCTTGTATCACAACTGGGCAGATTTATTTAAACAAGGAAAAAATGCCTTATTTACCTTACTGGACTTTTTCAGTTGCCCTTGCGCTAAAGCAGTGGCCGCAGGTCACTGCAGTGCGTGTGAATCAGGCTTTCCTCCCATGCAGTGTCATCTGCCTTCATCTTTCTTTCCTTTTTTTCAGAACTGCTCAGAGGTCACTGACCCAGGGTCTCGTCTCTGGCAGCAACTGCAAACTCCTGAGGCAAGAGATAAGAACAGGACGCATGCATTGTGAAACTTTCCCAAACTATTCCTCCAAACTCTAGCAAGCTGTAGTGCAGTTCCTCCCCGTGAATTTATCTTATTGAGCCCGTACCTTCCTGTGGCGAGGTTGGGGAACCCAGAGCAAAGAAAGTTCCTGTCTGCAAAGCCTCCTCAGCGCGAGTACTTTATTTGTTCTGCTGAAATCCCCTTCTGGTATCCAGCTGCCCTTGCTGCCTGCTTTCCTGTGGCGGGTAAGCGCGGCGGGATGCTCCTAAGAGCTGCTGCCGTTGTGCTGCAGCGCCGGCTGCGTCACGCACCACCGTGCGAAGGGGTGCCCCCAAGCACCGGATGGCGGGCTCTGTGCTTACGATAACTTATATGTTCTCAGGAAAACAAGTCATTCGTGGAGCTTGTCGCAAAAGCGTTGGAAGGAGTCACGCTTGGCTCCCTACGGGCGTGTTTCTGGGTGCGCCGGACTTGGCGTCTGCGGCGCAGCGAGTTCTGGCAGGACTTCACCGAAAGTTGAGGTGTTTGTAAGGGCCCTGGCCTGTGAGAATTTTTCAGCGGCTTAACAACGTGCGAGTTCACGCCGCTGCCCTTATCTCAGCTAGAGGACGTCTCCTCCGTCCGACCCCCTATTTTCATCAAACTGGGGGAGCTCAATTCCTTAATAATCAGCGCCCCGGGCCAACTAGCCCCAGTGTAGAGACGGGCCCGCGCAGGGCACGGTCCGTAAGCGGTAAGAGCCAAGCTAAGCTCAGTCCTACCGCAGTCGGATGCTTTCCTTCCTCGCAAACCGGCTCTTCTCGGTTCCCCTTGGCCTGGGTCAGGCCGCGTTTCCCCCGCGAGCCCGGCGCGGGCTCCTCTCGGGCACCGCGTGCTGCGGGACGCGGCCGAAGCCCGCCGG